GTGTATAAGAAACATTTGGTGAATTTTCAGTGATAGTGGAGCAGTTTGTCAGTGTCAGCATCTCTGTGATCTTCTGATCTTCAATAGTAACAGTAGCAGAGACTCTTAAACCTGAACAGATCATCAAAAACGTTTATGATCATAAACAATAATATAGCACATAAAAACTTCACTGAAGGAGAACCAACCTCCAGTATATTGTAGCTGGTCAGAAAAACTACAGGAGCAATTTGGGAAAACTGCAGGCGGATCAGACCCGTCACACAGGTTTACACTTCCTTTAGTGAAAGTACATGAGAAGGCAGGATTTCCTGTGCTCTCCAGACTCAAGGAAAGATGTAGAGTAATCTGTGTAGAAGAGGGCAATGGCTGGTAAAAGCAATCTTCTAAATATTAACTAAATGATGATAAGTAAATAATTCTAGCCAATGTCTACCTTTCTAGAAGAATTCTCTGCCATCTGAAAAGAAAACAGTCGCGTCTGGAGAGAGTTTTTTGGGATGGACACCCATGAAGTATTCGAGCACTCATCTTGAGTAGAACATCTAGATAAAGACAGCATCAACCAATATATCACTACAGAACTGTTTGCACACTGCTCATCTTGTCTATATAGAAGATAAGAAGTTAACATGCTGTTCTACAATTAGGCATATTTAGTGTAGATGCAGATCTCATGTGTGATGTGAAAAATCACATATGATAAAGACAGACTGACCTGTGTGTGTTCACACACCAGCCGCAGAGAGGATCCAGAGCAGCTCTGCAGTCTATCAGAGTGCTGTATTTAGCACACTGAACAACGGACTCTCTTCTTAACTACATGAACAACATGAGCAGAAAGAGACTGTATGACAATGCGATCTAACGCATCAGATATACTGCCTGATTTAGTAACTGCATAGTTTCATTCAGAGGTTTCTAACTGTGGGGCATGAGAGAATCGCCTTTATTCACTGATTAAAACAATGTCTTGGATCAGCTTTTTGGCTTATAGGGCAAACCATTCTTTTCATATTGTTCCTGAAATGCATTATTACATTTTACTTACTCATTTTAGAAAAGAGTAAGTAATTTTTAGTTAACTAAAATGTTATATACAGGAATTATTTATTATTCAATACTAAAATGTTTCTACTATAGTATATATACAATATAAACTCTAAAAAATGCTGGGTTAAATACAACCCAGTGCTGGGTTACTACCCAGAAGGTTGGGTTAAACATTTAACCCAACCGCTGGGTCAAAACAGCCCAACTGCTGGGTTTGTCCCTATTTAACCCAGCACTGGGTTGTATTTAATCCAGCATTTTTTAGAGTGTATAATGTTTTTATTGTTTGTTAACTGGACATTTGCAAACTTCACCTGTTTCCTCAGAGCGATGTAGATATGTTTGAAATCTACTGGATCAAAGTGCATTCTGGGAAGCACTGCTCGTTCATCATCAGATTTAAATAGCACTATTGGACATCCTGGAGTGAATTTCTCATCCAACACAAGCTAGAAAAACAGAACAGAAATACAAATCATGAATTATTATGACTGTAGTAGTTCAAATACACTGAACAGCTTAGAGCTATATGTGTAAATGGAAATGGTGCAGGTATTAGAAATGAAAACCCATTGAGAATTGTGAAAATAAATGCACGTGTATGAGATAGAATTGAAGGAGACCTTTATGAGTTGACCATCACTGGTTCCTATGAACAGCACAATCCAGGATCCACTTCTAACTGCTGCCACTGCTGACATTGAGCTGTGCTTGAACACCACAGAGAGCGGCTGAAGTTCAGTATCACTCTGAAACACAAACAACAAACTGAAACTTTATATGACTTTAGTTCAATTACATTTAATCATGCAACAGATTCAGGTTATTTTATCTTTATATAGTAAAATGTTGTTCTTATCTTAAAAGGCGTGTATATTAAACACATGAATGCAAATTCCAACCTCAGAACCACATGGGTTTTCACCAGAAGCGCAGAAGCCCTTCACTCGGCCTTGAATGCTGCTGATGTCGTACAGAGCCAGCGCGCTGTTCTCCGGATCCTGCTGATTCTGCGCACTGAACACACCTGCCCAAATAACGCTGTTCACTGAGGGAATAACAGTGCAGGCGACGAGCACTGGACGAGCTTTATCACTGCAGCATCGTATCGTTGCAGCCTGTAGGGATTTGATGATGTCTCTCTTTTTTCCTTTAGAGCTGTTCATCCACAGGACGAGCACTTTCCTCTCTGAGCCAGTCTTTACGTTGAGAAATAAGTAGGATTCTGAGGGCGAAACTCTCTTGAATCCGCCAACAAACTCCACATCTCTCACTGTGCTCTGAATGCTGGCATCTGATCCTTCCGCAAATATAGAGAAAATCCCACCTGCTTTAGACTGTAAAGTGTTCCACAAGCTAACAACAAAATACCTGGTATCTTGAGGTTTTACATCGTCGTCTTTTTTTACATTTACATTTAGTCATTTAGAAGACGCTGTTAGCCAAAGCAATTTACAAATGATGACAATAAAAGCAGTCAAAACTAACAAAAGAGCAACAATATATAAGTGCAAATGACAAGTCTCGGTTAGCCTAATGCAGTACACACACACACACACACACACACACACATATATATATATATAACACACACAAAGAAAAACAAGTAGATAGAATATAAATAATAGAAAGCTTGTGTTTTGTTTTTTGTTTAAATAAAAAAAAGATAAATAGATAAAGTAGAATTAAAATAGAATAGAAAGTGCTAGAGTTAGAGAGTCAAATAAAGATGGAACAGATGTGTATTTAGCCGATTCTTGAAGATGGCTAAGGACTCAGCTGCTCGGATTGAGTTGGGCAGGTCATTCCACCACAGTTCATGTAAAAGTCTGTGGAAGGGATTTTGTGCCTCTTTGGGATGGCACAATAATGCGTTGTTCACTTGCAGAATGCAAGTTTTTTTCTATTAAGTTTAAAGGCAGATTTTTACTCCTAAGTGAAAGTTGTAAAAACCAGGTGTCTCATTTATAAAACTCTCCATTGATTTCATCCTAAAAGTGAAATCGGATCAACAATTGTTTTGACATCACCTCGTACTTCAGCTTCTCATCAAATCTTCTAACCAATCAAATGCTCTCTAGAATCCGAAGCGCCCGCCCCCTACACTATAAATAGACTGTGCTGAGATCGATCGCTTGTTCAGTGTAGTATTTCCTGTACAGTGAATAGCACGTAGTGCACAATGTAGGCGATAGGGAACGATTCAGACAGTATAAATATGCTTTCGATTGGGGCAAATGAGGTCTGGTTGTTGTGTCACGTGAACCACGTGAACCGAAAGTCTGATCCGGACTTTGGCTCCAGTCCAGAGACGCGATCGCACGGAGCCTTGCAAGTGACATCGCAGGTAGCGGAGAGTGCAAGTGAAGCTTGCAAGTGACTTCGTAATTTAGTTTCTTTTTTCTTGCCTTCACCACCAACTGTTGTAAAATGTTGAGAGATTCAAACAAAAAGTAATCATTAAATAGAACAAAATAAAAAAGACTGCAAGTGATGTCACTAGCAGAAGCACAAGTGCCCAGTTAATTTCGTTGACGAATAATTTGTCATAATTGTCATCAACGACATTTTTTTCACCGACGTCAACTAAAACGATAACGAACTAAAACTTTTTTTGAACGACAAAAACTATGACGTAAATCTATTGACATTTTCGTCAACGAATAAAAACCAGACGAAAATGTTGGGGAGGGACGATTTGGGAAGAGTCTGCTGCGTGGTTCGGCGGTTATATGAACCGGCGGGATATAAGCTAAAATACACTTGCAGCACGTCGCATAAAACGTTAAAAAAAGAGAAGAGCAGACATATGGATAAATCTGACGACGCAAGAGAACTCAATTCGGTCCGGTTTTCTGAGCGCAGACACTATACACACAAAGCGCGACTCACAGCGCGCGAGTAGTCTTTCGCGTCACATGAACGGAGAATTACACACCAAAAGATGTCGAATTGTCCGTTTTGACGAGTATTCATGTAAACACAGTTGATTATGTCTTAAGTGAACGTAAACAGTAGGGAGAATGTGTATCAGTACATTGCATCCATTGCAGCTGTGCATTCGTTTTTAAAGGGATGGATAGCAGCCTAATTTAGTTGCTATTGTCCGAATCATTGATGTTAAAGGGGTCATATGATGCTATTTTAAAGATTATTATTTTGTGTATTTGGTGTAACAGAATATGCTGACATGCTTTAATGTTCAAAAAACATTATTTTTCAAATACTGTACATTATTGTAGGTCCTCTATGCCCCGCCTCTCTCAAACGCATGGTTTTCAACAAAGCTCCGTCCTTTGACAAGCGCAGTCTGCTCTGATTGGCCATCTGACCCAGTGCATTGTGATTGGCCGAACACCACAAGCACGCATCGGAAATGTAACGCCCCTTACCATAATCGTGAGCATCAGCTTTCAAAGTAAATATAATAATAATTATATATAATATTTAAATGGGGAGTCATCTCAATTATCACCAGTAAAATATGGAGTGCCACAAGGATCTGTCCTAGGTCCTCTGCTATTTTCGATATACA